TTCAGACAAACTCAAGCAACATCTTTCACTGGGAACTGTATCATTTATACAGGAATGTTTGCCAAGCTCCAACATCTCTAACAAATTCTTCTGAAGAATTCGTGGAACTAATGACAGCACACAAGTCAGAAGATAAAGAGTAGAAAAAAATCAGCCTATCTGTGCTCCAAGCTTAGATATTAAGTAAGTGGTCAAAATCTATTTCTGTGAGTCTTTAAGTTACAAATGTAAAAGCTATTCAGCCTAGGAAGCAGCACAATATATCACTGTCAGTCAGGTAACTTCAAGTTGCAATATCCAACTGCAGGAATTTAGAACAATGTACTGTAAGGCCAGAGAAACTAGGAAATATAAATTCTCCCTGCTCTGTCCTTATTTTGTTTTCAGGTCAGACTAATTAATGCATTTTCTATGATTAGAAAATAAGCTATGATGTTAGTGATACACAAAAAAGTACTTCTAAGTAGCCACAGTACTTCTAAGTCAGTTCACATTTTAACATTAAAAGGAGTTAAGAACATATAATCATTACATTATATAATTGGTTCAGTCTTATTAAATCACTACTTTAAAATTCTACATGTTTCTACCTTCTGCAGAAGACATTAAGGCAAAACAAGCGACCCTGTGAAGTTATCTAGGTACATTACAGATAAGATTGTTTCAAATATAGATAAAAATGCTCAACCTAAATGAAACACCATCATTAGTTTACTGGACTTTAAGAAACAGTGTATCAGAAGTCCACTGTCACCAGCCAGAGGTGAGCTTGTATTGGCCACTACTGCCAATATAAATACATATGAATGCTTAATGTAGTTATAATTTTCAACAGATAATGCATTAGGGTAATGCTGTTCACCATGATTATGGTTATCTGCATCCACAACATTTCTTCTCTGAACCTAAAGAGAAAACAGAACAGATTTTTTAACTAAGCACCAGTTTGTTGCTCAGAGTTGGAAAACCTGTCCTAGTAGCTTCATATGAAATACAAATATTTAATTTTCCTACTTCCTATGAGATTATATACACAATGCTTCCAACATTTTAGATTCGAGGTAATAAATGGGATAATATAAATGGGCAGAATATTCCAATTCAAACAAAGAAGTATGAATGAAACTCAAAACCCGACAAGTCTGAAGGATTCTCTAATAATAATTTGTCACTTTCTATATAATACACATACCATATAAATATATACACCCCTTGTATTATATATGGTATACTGCCACATATATTCTACTTCTGTTCCCATAGAAGATTTAAAATTAATATATTTGTAGAGATGGTATTCATAATAATCATAATGATGGCTAAAAGTCTGTTAACTTTTGGGAGGAGTATCCTCTAGTGAAGGGCTCAGAGACGACACCAACTAAACATTGGGAAAATGTGCTCTACGTCAGTGTACCATGTTCTTACTACCAAAAAGACTGGTAAATGTTACTGAAATATAGTCCCAGCCCTTTATTTAATTCAGAAGGTTTACTTAGGAAGATATTTGCATTTTCATTAATTGTGTGCATCTGTATGATAAAGAGTCCCCATTAGGAACTTTAGCAAGAAAGAGCCACAGTTCAAGTCAGGCATTTTAAAGGTGTGTTTTCACAGCATCTGGACATGAACTTCTGAGAATTCAGAAAGCAGCTTAAAGCTGATCAGAGTTGTTAACACTTACAGTGATTTACCTTAAGGCAATGTTTACAGGGTGCACAGAACTGATACTGGACACAATAGGGAACTATAACACACAATACAGCTACATAATAACTAATTTCTAAAGCAAACTCATTACAATCACAGTAAGAGCCGAAGTTTTTTGAGGACACTTAACCTGATCAAATCAAGAGCAGTTTCAAACTGATACATCTTTTGGTTTTTGGTTTGTTTTTTTAAGATAGTACTTTGTGTCTAGCTGCCAAACTTCAAAGTTGAAATCAGACTCCAATGCTAATACTACGCTTCTTCAGTGTCTGTCAGAACTCTAGCAAATCCATTCAGTAATTCTAAATAATTCATGAAAGCCAAATAAAAGATTGGAAAAAATTCCATCAGCAATCTCGAAATTCTCTTTACAAGGGCCATCACCTGACATTGAAGTACTGCAAGGGTCTATAAATTGAAAAAGGACAGAAAACTACACCATTATTCATTAGCCAAGAGCAAAAAGAAAACAGTCTAAAGTGGCCTCTTTGAAGAGGCTGAAAAGGGCCAGAATGAAAAGTCCTATACAGTCATAAACCTTTGCCATCAGTAGTCTGCAATTACAGAGCTACTCTGATCACAAGAGACTTGCAGCAGCAGTTGAAACAGAGTATTTCTAAACATTACTTAGAAGTTAGTGAATACGAATTTATGAATTGACAGAACTCAAAAAGCCTTAGAAGGCTAGAACAAACAGCTTCAAAGGAAATAAGCTCTTCTAGCAATTTGGTTAAAGTATTAAAAAAATAAGCAAGATCCTTGTAGTTGATTGGGAAGAAGGGGAATGAATCCCAAGTTTTCAATACCCTTAAGACTTCTGTACAGAAAACTAATTATCACTAGACAGAATTTTAAGTAATGATTTTAAAATTTAAAATAAATTAATCAGTTAGGCTTTCCAGTACTGTCAATCATTTCAGAGTTGTTTTTGAACTTTTATTTAAATATTTGATACTTCATCCAGAAGATCAGTTACACAACTAAACCAAATACTCCTCTAAAGGAAATCATACCATGTAACCAATCTAACCTACTTTTTATTAGAAATCCAAAGTATACATAGGCTTATTTATCTGGCAACTGCCTTTCAACAAATACCTGCCAAAACCCTGTCACAGGTAGATCCTAGGATCTTAAGCAAAGGCAAATGTAGTTTTGGCAAATGTAACTGACACTAGGATAGTGGGGGATTTTTTTGCAAATAAAACAAACAAAAAACCCCAACCGCCCACACTTGCATTACCTACAGACAAAGTCATCACTCACTTGAGAGCTTTGTTCCAGCTTATAGTCTTGAATTCAAAATTTGAGAAGGAATTGAATGGCTATTCCTGCAGTTTCTCATTTGATGCATATATCCACGAAAGAACAATCTAACACACCTTTGCTTTACAGTTGCTTGCCAAGCACACTCATGTAGGAATACAAGAACAATCAGTGTCTGTGTGTAATCCTCCTTCTCAAACTAGATGAAAACAAAATGAATGCTGCTGAACTCATGCAGTAAGATTTCTTCTTTAAAAGGGAATTTTTTTCCAGGAATACTAGTACCTGTTCATTCTCACAAGTGCTACGTTCAACAACTTCACCCATGTAAACGCATGTGCAATTCTGACTACTACGATTTTTAAAACAGGGTTTAATTTTGAAAAACACAATTTCAACAGTTTTCCATTTGAATGTGATTTTTCACTTGGAGTCTTATTTCTGGCCGTGAAATAACATTCTCCTGCTTGTGTACAAAGTACACTGAAATGCAAAATTTACAGCTGCCTTGCTCAGACACCTTCCTCTACTACTGCTGCTAATACAGACATGCCTACAAATAAACATAGGAAGAGGTTTGAGGATAGGAGGGGAAATGCACGTGGAGGAGGAGAACACTTTAAGTATTGTATCTCTGAGGTATATATTCACAAAATGGGAATCAAAACTCCACTATGAAGCTCAAAGAGAAACTTTAATACTCTGCAAATGCCATTAGAGACGTTTTTATAGCCAGTAAGCTTTATTATAGAGTAACTTCAAACATATTCACAGTCATTTTAATTAAAAAAAAAAATCTCTAATCTTTCGAAGTGACATGAGAATCACCATCTAGACTATGTAATACACCAACATCTAAATAAACCAGATGCTCCTAAAATAGAGCATTGACACGAATTCTTTAGGTGAAATGTCCCCACCTAACATTCTGAACTGACCGTGGCACTTCTGCTCAAATTTACAAACAGGTGACACCACAGTACAATAGAATTTCTACCCAAAATAGCACATGTTTCATGAGTATCCAGATTTCATAAACTCTCAAATACAGTACTCTAAATATAAACATTTCTTGACCAAATTAGCTCTCAGAAACACTGTAAATGCTATTCTTTCTCATGCTATTTTTTCCTAGTCTCAAGAACCGGCTTCAGAGTCTCAATTCATGTCAGTTCCCAATTCTGTCATGCTTATCCCTCCATGTTTTTCCACGCTGTCTTTAAGTCAAAGGCGGAGCATTAGCGGCCTTTTAGAAGGAGGCAAAGTAGCTGAAGATCTGCCTGAAAGCTACAGTCTTGTCAAACACTAGCAGGGTTGTATCTATGCCATTGTACTCCACTCGGCTTGATAAATTCTAGGTAAGCATCCTTCAGAACACTACTTGTATCAGTACACTTAAAGATTTAAAGAGCAAACAACGGAGAGAAGTTAGGAGACCCAACACAGGAGTTCTGCCACACACTGAAAGTTAAGACAGCACAACTATTTAATTCAACTCCACATGGAGCAAGATGGGGGAATGCCCAATACAGCGACGAGAGCTTGGCTCTATACACTATGCACGAGGCACAGGAGTCAATTTTACTGTTCATTGGCTTCCTTCCGTACAGAAACTTAGGAAAAAAAACCCCAAACATGCACCTAAGAAAATATAGTAAGGTTAGAAGCCATACTGTGCACGGGTCCCAAAAAACTCCCAAAATACAGGGGAAACGAGCGATTCAGCAGCTGGCAGGGTGGAGCAGAAGGCGGGACAATGACCTAATAGGTCTTTTCTATCTTTAGTTTCGCGAGGCTCAGTGGACAAGCGGCGCCGGGATGCCCCGCTCTGCCTCCGCCGCCCCCGGGGGGGCACCGGGCGTTCTCCGCCCCAAGTTGTCCCGAACTCGCCGCTCCCAGCAGGTATCCCGAGGTGCCGGGGCTGGCAGACAGGGAGCCCGAGGGAGCGCTGAAAGGCAGCACCACTGCTCCGAGTCATTTCCCAGCTATGAGCCACACCAGGGACCCGCGCCGCCCGCCCTTACCTTGAACACTTTACCGAAAGCACCATCTCCCAGCTCCCCGATGATTTCCCAGAACTCCTCAGGGTTCAAATCCCTCTTGACGTGCTCGTATTGTTTCTTCTTCTTCTCGCCGCCCAGCTTGAAGATCTTGCGAAAGTTGAAGAAGGACATTTTGGCTCGGGCCGGGGGACGGGGCGGGCGGCGCTGCCCCCTGGTCCCGCCGGGACCTCCCGGGCCGGGCGGCGCTGCCGGGAGCGACCCCCGCGCCCAGACCGGAGTCCTGGAGCCGCTCGGGAAACGCCGTCACCGCCGGGCGCTGCGGGCGGACAACACCCCGCGGGGCCGGCGGGGGCTCGGGGCTCCTCTCCCGGGCGGGATCGGCGCTCCTACTCGGCCGGGCCGGGCACCATCGCGCCAACAAGTGCCGGGCTCCCTCCTCGGGACGGGCGGCGGCGGAGCCCGGGGACGGGAGGGGGAGGGAGCGGTCACGTCCCGCCTCGCAGGACGGGGCGGATGTAGGGAGGGGAGGGCGCTGCTCCCCAGCCGACTCGCGGCCGGTTGTTCCTCACGGAGCGGCGTTCCCGGGGGCGGCGACAGCGGGAGGGAAAGGACGCTGCTCGCTGCCGGCCTGTCTCTCCCGCGCTCTCGCGGCGCGGGGCCCGGGCGGCTCCGCTTCCTGCGGGGCGGCACCGGCGGCGCCTCCGCCCCCTCCGCCCCCCACCCCTTGCCCCCGCCCGGCGCCTGCGCGCGCTCCCGTTCCCGCGCGCCCGGAACCGCCTCGCGCCCCTCCCGCCGCTCCGCGCCCGCTCCGACACCGCCGTCAGCGGCGCACGCGCGAAGGCGCGCGACCCCTATTCCCCCCCCCCAACGGCGTGCTCCGGCGCGTGCGCACGCGCCGCACCGGCAGCACGCGCACAGCACCCCGCCAACGGTTCGTCTCCGGCAAAGGCGGAGGGAGGGGGTGGGGCTTTCCCCTGACCACGTGACGCGGCTGTGGCGGCGCCAGCCAATAGGAACGCGCGGAGGCTTCCGGCGGGTAAGTCGGTGTCGGGCACAAGATGGAGGGGTCCCCCCAGGCCCTCAGGCTAGGGGGGTGGTGCTGGGGCGGGGGCGAGCGCTCGTCCCTCCCTCCCTCACACCCTGCTGTTTTTGCTTGTGGGCTTGTGGAAGGCGCTTTCCCTTTTGTCCTCTGTGTGCTGTGACGGTATGGACGTGGGGCAAGAGCACCCTTTATCCTAACTGTATCTTGTCTTTTAGCTGCTCATCCCGAAGGACGCCCCACGCCTCTCTCATTGCTGCTCCGCAGTCCCGGACAGCGAGGGTCTCCCCAGCCCTGTGGCAGAGGATGACGTTCCCTAGTTAGGGCGAAACCCTCCCCTCAGGGCTTTCGGGTTCCTCGGGTTCTTCCTGGCAGCGCCTGCAGAGCCCCCCCAGCATCACCCCTGAAGGGGCTGTGAAACCCCCCATAAAGAGATGTGCCAGGAGCACTGCGATGGCAGGTGGTGCTTCCTGGGGTTTTGGGCTTTGACGTGGCTCTCAGAGGAAGGTGTTGACAGCAAAAACGCCACGTTGGAAGACTTTATTTTGTTTGTGGGCCAGTGCTGTTCCTAGACCTGCTCCTGGCTTGTCACGGCATTCGGTCATAGCTGGGTGTGATGTTCATGCGCTGCGCGTTTGGTATCTTTGATATCTTATTTAATCACTGGGACAGGCTTGAATTTCCTTATCTCACAACCTTCTCTTCCCACAAGTGATTCCTTCATCACCCTGAAGTACGGTTGTGTTTTAATAGTTGTATGTATGCCACCAAGTGTGTGGTGTTTCTTCACTTGGAAGCAGAGGCGTTCCCGTTGCCTGGATAAAGGGCAATTCGCAGGCATGGAGGAAGGTTTGGGCTGTGACTGGAAGTCGATCCAGCAGTTGAGGCGATGCTGAGAGACCTGAGAAGGATCTGATAATGAGAGAAACACCCAGGGAAAATCATGTAATGCCTTGTCCTCGTATGAACCTGAGTGCCTGTAGTTGCCATTAATTTAAGCTGCATGATGAGCTTCTAAAGATCCAACCTCTGGTGTGTATCGCTCCTCAGACCATTTTATTAGCATGACAATAGTTTACTATCTATGGAGTATAGTCCATGTGTAAACTTAATAATAATAATGAGGCATTGAGATGCACCAGTGCTGGGGTTCGTATTGCAGCCTTTATAGTCTCCTTGAAAGAATCAGTTCTTAGGAGTAGAAAGTCCTGGGCTGAGTCAAGAAAGGGATTTCAGCAAAGGAGTTTCCTAATAGTACAGATTTTTGCAGTAGTGAATATTAGAAGATTCAGAAGGAACAAAGGGCATAGAAATAGCCTGGACCTGAACTTTGCATTGTGGGTTAACAATGTTTGGTTTTTAGCTGAAACCTGCTGGGGCAGAAGCCTTTTAAGAATGTGTTGGTGATGTATGTTGAGTAATAAGTGGTGCTAATAATATTTATAACGTACTGGAACACCCTGTGCCTGGCACTGTTCTGCCCCAGAACATGGGGATGGCCCCTGACACGGAGAGTTTATGAATCAAACAACAGTGTTGTGGCATGAGTCCATTTCTTTAAACTGTATAAAGACAGTTTCAAGGGTAATACCACCCCATGAACAGAGAGCCTTTCAAGTGCTCTTGCTAACCTTATTTGTTGTAATAATCAACATTTGTTTTTAAAAAGTTATATTGGGCTTTGTGGTTCCTTTGTACTGACAGCTTGGCCACAGAATGTAAAACTGTTGAGGAGGATGCTAAAGCCAAAACTGTTTATTTTTTTGAGGGCAATAAGAAACAACTGTAATCCAAACTTTTGTTTTCTCTTCTGTGATCTGGCTGGCTGGCTCCATCTATTAACTTCATTTGCAAGTTTCATGGAGATAGTTTGGATTAAATACAATAATAAAGAGTGATTGATAATATTTCTTCAGTGTTACCAACAGCAATTTAGCTTCTGAAACCTAAATTTTTAAAGTTCAATTTCTTTTTCTCTATATAATCTCTTCTTTTGCCCTTTCAGGGGGGATCATAACTTTGTTTTGGATGCTAAAATACAGTGATGGCTTTAATGATAATTTTAAATAGTATTTTTAATTGAATATTTTGGTTTTATCTTTCTTTCTCTTGGATAAAAAATGCTTTGGGACTAATTTCCGTAAGTTTGTTTAAACTGACTGATTGATAGAGGATGGGGGGAAAAAAGGGAATCCAAAGCCACTGCATGAATTTCTTGTCTTTAGGCAGGATTATCTTTTCTTCAGCCTCAGGGGTAGTGCCATAGGGCAGCAGGGAGGGGTGTGTGTGGGTGAATGTCAGAGTTTGTAATAACTGGAAATAAACACAAAACTAAAAGACAATTTCGTGAGCCATAACTGAACAAGTGCAGCTGAGCTGGCAGCTCTGGGATGGGAGAGCAGGGCCTGGTTCTTTCTCAGCTCTATCAATAAATGAATGTTGGACTGTCAGTAGTTCACACACAGCATCTCTACAATGTGTCATTTTGCTGTGAACTTGTTTGTGATAAGAGTTTCACTCAGAGCAGAACAGAGACAATAGTGTCATCCTGCCAATGACTAGATGTTAGTAGGGACTGCAAATGTGTTGCTTTAGACTTTTATAAAGTCTTCCTGTTCCAGGGAGCTTTTAATTCATATAACATTAAAAATATAAGATTAAGGGCTGGCACAAGAAAGGAGTGATAAAGTTTTGCTTTTAACTTTTTCTTTTTTTTTTTTGCTTACACTTTAACAATTCAGAATAAAACCAGTATATCTGAAACAGAGAACTGTGGCTCAGTCTGATTTTTTCCCTTATTCTTTCATTCTGGAGTTACAGCTTGCCACTCAATCCTAAAAATAAACTCTGTAAGGTGAAGGTTAAGTGCTAGTAGCAAATCCTTCCCAATTTGCTTTGACTTCCTGGTATGGAAGAGGCTGTATGAAGCCTGGGTTTTTGTGTGTGTGGTTTTTTTGTTCCTGATAGCAGGAGTTTTTAGCAACTGTAAATGTTTCCAGATGGTAAGGATAAAAAGGTAAAAGTGAGTTATATTAACATTTCTCCTTCAGGAATTTAAAGCAATGCTTTTTGGAAATTCAGTGTTTCCTTTAAATATCACAGGAAGATGTTAAAGTGAAGATGTTAAAGAACTATCTTAGTTGTGCATCAAATATATTGGCTTAAGAATAGCTGTAGCACTTTATGGCAATCTTTTTCATCTCTTTGTGATTTAGAGGTCTCCTTTATACTTTCTGCTGTTTAATATCACCATCCTTTCCATTGCCTCAACCACACTTGCCACTGTTCCTAACTCCCTGTTTAAGTTCCACTTCTGTTTCATTTAAACTGTTCCAGTTTCTCTTAATTGAAAGTAAACTCTTCAGAAGTTTAATTTGAAACGTGTTCTTCACAGCATATATTGCCCTTTCACTGCAGGCCTGCAATCCTGTCTTCAGTTCTTTCAGAATATTTAATGATATATTTTTGTATTGTCTTGACTTTCTGTCCATCTGTGCTTTCACTGATCTCCAGCCTTCTTTCTGATGATTGAGTTCATTGAACTGCTGTAAGGTCACAGGTGGCTTGTTCGTGGTTAAATCTGAAGTGTAATTCTTATTTTATCCGTCTTAATCTGTCTGTCACCTTTGGCACTCAACACTGGCCTTTCTGTTTTCTTTAATTGATGTATGTAGTGTTTTTATTGGTGTTTTCCAGTTATGTGGTGGCATTTTCTCGTAGGCTCTACCGTTTCTCTTCTGATCTGTTCCCAGAGTTAAAATCTGTGCTGTATTGGATCATTTCAGTTCTAAGCACCACCGCAACTTCTAGATCCCTATAGTTAACCCACTACCTTCCTTTTTAACCTCCTTTTTGCATACTTGGTTTTGCCAAGACCCTATGTATGCAGACTCTGTATCTGAAGTTATTTCCAGATGCTGCCTTGCTTCCCTCTGAATCTGACTTCCTTTTCCTGGGATTTCAGGATTTTATGGAATTAAGGTCTGATGCTTTGCCTTGTACCACCACAGCATTAGGAACTTTCCTCATTCCTTCTGGCTTTATGAGAAAGTTTTGGTGACTCTCCCATACCTGACCTTTATCTCCCTTCTCTCATTCATGATGAGTCATTTTTTCTTTCCATATTCTGAATGTGTTGGTTTCTCATAGGAGCTCCTCAGTTCAGTGGATTTTAAATACCGGTGTTTTCAGTCGCTTTCAACCTTGTACATTAACCTTAAAGATACTATTTTTCTTCCCTCTATGATATTTCCACCCTCTTTAGGTACATGGCAAATTTTTGACTTTTTGTCTTTTTTCTGTGACCCCTCTGCACTTTCTGTTTCATACCTGACTCCTTTGTCCTGATGCCCTAATTTATGGTGGTAAGTATAGAGGAGCTAGTAGTATCACCAATTAATAAACCATGTTCATGACAAGGTGAAGAAGGAAATACAAAAGAGGGCCGAAAGAGATTTTTATTTCTCTGTGATGTAAGAGGTTGGCCTCTGGCTATGGGTTTTCCTTTGAGGAGCATCAACTTGTTATCCATTTTCTAGAAGCCTCGAGAGGGGAGACTGTTGTGTATAGAATCATTAAGGTTAGAAAAGACTTTTGGGATCACAGAATCCAACCTTGG